TGCGCACGCTCCAGGCTGAGGTGAGTGCCCACTCGGCTCTGCACCCCCGGACCCGGCGCTCGCTGCCCCTCGCCCTCGCGGGCTCCCCCCTGCCCTTACTGCCTCCCCCAGCCCTGAAGGGCCCTGGGCCCCCATGCCCTTTGTGCCATCTGCCATCCAGGAGGATACCCTGCCTTCGGCAGAGACCGCGCTCATCCTGCACCGCAAGGGTTTTGACTGCGGCCTGGAGGCCAAGAACCTGGGCTTCAACTGCACCACAAGCCAAGGCAAGGTGAGCCGGGTGTGGGCCAGGGAGCCCTCGATAAGAGGGCAGGGATGTAGCCCCCAAGGTGAGGATGCCGGAGCCAGAGCTGAGGTCGGGCGGGTAAGGGGAGAAGAAAGGGTCTCTCCGGGCTTTCTGCTCACCTGGGTTCCAGCGTCCCCGAGGCCTGGCAGTGAGAGCTGTATCCCCAAGGAGGGACCTCTGCGAAGCACAGAGGAAAACACCAGAAGTGAAAAGCCAAACACCATCCTGCTGTTAACGTTGTAAGCTCTGTTCTTTGTGTCGGGGCACCAAGAAATGCCCCTATCCAGAGCTTTTGCTGTGCTCTGGTGCTTCACGAGTGACTCGGGCATAGTGCCCGTCCTCACAGAGCTCCCAACCCAGTGACACGGTTCCTGCCCTGAGCTTGATGATAGCCTTCGGGGTCGAGCAGATCCCAGCAAGCCCCTGAGACTGGATGCAAATGCCTATGGGTGTGAAGATGTGTTGCAGCAGAGGAAGGGCCATAGTGTTCATCAGATTTTATTTTTTAAAGAATTATTTATTGGGAACCAGCAGTTAGCGTAATGGCTATGTCGCTGGACTCCCACGTAGTCGACCGCGGTTCGTGTCCCGGACCCGGTGGCTTAAAACTCACGCCAGGCGCGTGTGCGTGTGTGCCCAAGATCCCAAGAGGAGAATGGAGGAGAAGGGATTGCGGCGTGACCATCCCCCCTGGGGGGTGATTTCTCACTTTCTGTCTCTATGTCTCTCTCTGTCTGTCTGGCGAGCGCACGCACCCTACAGTGAAAATCTCTCCTTGGCCATGTGGGAGTATCCAGCTCCTTAACCACCACGCCACATTTGGTCCCTAGACTTTTTTTTTTTCAGAGACTTTTTTTTTTTTGGCTACAGGGCATGTGCTCTTGACAGAGAGACAGAAAGCAAGAAATCACACCCCATGGAGAATACCCATGCCACCATCCCTTCTCCTCCATTCTCCTCTTGGGATCTCGGGCACGCATCCACATGCACCTGAGTTTAAGCCACCAGGTCCGGGACTCGAACCGTAGTCAACTACATGGGAGTCCAGCGACACAGCCAGTACGCCATCTGCTGATCCCCCTGCCAGATTGTTAAAGAGGTAAAGAACCATGTTATTTAGTGTACTGGCTCCTAACAGCTCTGCACCTTCTCTCCTCTGCACAGGTTGCCCTGGGGAGCCTCTTCCACGGCCTGGACGTGGCCTTCCTGCAGCCGAGCTCCTTGACCTTGCTGTACCCTCTGGCCGCGCCTTCCAACAGCACTGACATCTATGTGGAGCCCATGGAGATTGCCACCTTCCGCCTCCGCTTGGGTTAGGGCTTCTGCTGGCCTAGAGAGGATGTCCGTCACCGAGACTGCCCCTCAGCATCCAGACCGGTGTGACAGGCGCACTGGGGACCCTGTCTTCATCTGCCTGTCAGAACTGTGACCGACTGGGCTCGGCCCTCATTTTCTGTTGCTTGTTGCTTCTGTTTTCTGGGGCAACCCACAGCCCAGTGGTGGGGAGACAGGGCAGATGCTGGTGCGATCAGGGAGAGGAGCCCTGGTCGGAGGGTGCAGTGCCAGCGTGGCCTTAGCTTGTGAGTGGCCGCCCAGCTGGGCGTGGGCTCAGGTACCTGTCCTTTTCCCGTAAAGGGATGTAGGAGAAGCAGGGCAGACAGGCAAGGAGGCTAAGCTTTAGGGTCCCTGGAAGCAAGCTGGGTTTAAGGAGTCCTGGGGTGACTACAAAACTAGGAGAATACAAAGACAATTCTGTCTGAGGAGAGGGCTGGGGACCCAGAGCTGGCAGGGTGAGTGGAGCAGAAGGAATCCCGGTATCGCCGAAGAGCCCACAGGCCTTGCTGCTTTCTGTGCCAGCTGCTCACCTGCACGTCCTGGCTCGGGCTGCAGAGTGGCAGGAAGGACTCGGTAGAGACTGTCCCAGCCAGAGGTCAGAGGATTTGGTACTCCAGGTACCCAAACCCTGATCTTGAACTGGGCCCCTGGTCCGTGTGTTGATTTGTGGGATGGCAGTGGGAGTATAGGGGGGTCCTTCACCCTCCTCAGCTCCTCTGTGGTCCCTGTACCGTGTATGCCACTGTCCTAAGAGCGCCTTTCTGTCACGTGGGGTTTGGTCCTGGCTTATTTCCTTTCCTGCAAAGAAAGTGAGGTCTCTAGGACCCAAGAGCATGGGTAGCTTGTGAAGGCTCCCAGTACATGCAGCCAGGCTCACAGCCCCGCCCGTGGTCACTCCTGCAGAAGCGGTCGATCCCTGGCCCTGAGGACACGGGGTGTGCAGACTGGAGACAGCAGGGTGGCTGCTTGTAAGCCTTCCTTTCAGCTTCAATTAAGAGGGAAAATTTTAATGATAGTCTCTATAGATGCTGAAAAAAAAATCTCTGGTAAAATTTCAAATCTACCCCTTTATTAAAACTCTTAGTAAATTAAGACTAAAAAGAAACATCTTATTCTAAATAAAGTTCTCTGAGAAACCACCACTTAATGGCATTTTAAAGAGTCAGACACCACAGGCATTCTCATGAAAGTCAGGAACTAGCCCAGGGCAGGCCTGGCACCGCTAACCGCTTCCGTAAGGCGACCGAGGCAGACGAGGAAGGATCGTCGTCATCGCTATTTGTGGGGACAATAAACATGCTGACGGTGAAAGGTAGGCAAACCGGGTGAAGCCCTGTTAAGAGCATCCTGTAAGGTGGCCCAGTGGTACACATCATGGTCCTGGAAAGGTTTTGGTCTTCCCCAGATCAGCCTATCAAGTCAGTGCAGTTCCCACGAGATTGAGTACGTTTTAGAATTTGACAGGTTCCGAAGGTCATTTGGAAGAGCAAAATGAGACGACTAAGACAATTCTGTCTGTGATAATGAATCATGGGGTGGTGCTGAAGGAGTGAGAGGCGATCGTCCTGCCCCATTTCCCCGAAGACTCGCTACCGTAAACTCAGTCAGTGTAACCTGGGGGAAACAGGACAGACCAATGGGACAGAATAAAGAGGCAGATATAGACTCAGGTGTGCAGGAATTTCATGAGGATAAAAGTAATTTTTTTTATAAATTGGTTTTTTTTTTAGATTTTTGCCATAGGGTGCTTGTACTCAGCAAAGGGAAGGTGAGAAATCACCCCCCAGAGGAATGGCCACACCGCATCCCTCCCCCATTTTCTTGGGATTTGGGGCACACACGTACACGCACTGGCATGTTTTTCAAGGTGCCAGCTTTGGGACTCAAACCAGAGTCAGCCCTGTAGGATCCAGCACCTTAATCCACCATGCCACCTGCTCACCCAAAAGTAATATTTAAGAGGGGGTGAAGACATTATTTAACAGAAAGTACTTTGCAAGAACTAGTTATTAGATCTCTACCTCGCAGTTTCCACAAAAATTAGTTGGGGGGGGAATATATATATATAGGAGCCACCAGGTGGCGTGGTGGTTAAGGGTGTTGGATCCCCACATGGCTGACCATGGTTTGAGTTTCAGACCTGGTGGCTTGCTTTCTCACTTTCTCTCTCATCAAATTTTAAAAGATAAGTAAATACATAAAGTTAAATAAAATCTAAAAATATTTATATAGAGAGAAAGAAAACTACAAATGTACTCCAGAAAATATATTTTTATACTTCTGATGTGGGAAGGTTTTTTCTAAATATAAGATGAAGGTCAAAGATAATGAGGGAGATGAACAGATTTTATCACCAAAAAGGGAAGAAGAAAAAAGTTTCTGTATGATACGAAATATCAAGGTTAGAACAAAAATGTGGCAGATGGGAGAAATTTGCAGCACACAAATCAGGGAGTGCAATTAGAAAAGCTTGGTTTGAGGTTCTTAGAGAAAGCCACTGGAGGAGCTGCCTGAAGACACCCTCCAGGTCACACAAGGGTGTGCTCACATGGAAGCCTGCCGGTATCACAGGGAGAAGTGTCGAATGTGGAGAGCTGTCTGGGACGTCTCAGCGCCACCTCAGTAAAGGATGTACTTGCTAGTGGAGTACCTGTGAGCCCCTAGGACGTTAGCAGAATAAAGGATAATATCTTCAGAAAGGTCTTAGATGTGCAATGAAATTATTTGTCTGACAGGAACTATACTGTTTAATCCTATGCATTAGCTTTTTTTTGCTATAGGGCATGTGTGCTCACCAGAAAGGTACAGAGAGAGTGGGAAAGTGAGAAGTCATCCCCCAGGGGATCGGCCACACTGCAGTCCCTTCTCCATTCTCTACTTGGAATCTGGAGCACACACACATGCCTGGCATGATTTTTAAACTACCAGCATTACTCGAACCACGGAGTTGGCCATATGGAATCCAGTGCCTTAACTTGCACACCAACTGCTGGCCCCAAACATCAGCGTTTTAAGACCACTTGAGGCACTGTTGCTCAAGGTGTGATCCAGAATCACCAGATTGCTGGTGAAATATACAAGGATTTTGTTTTATTTCTTTTGTGAGAGATGAGAGAGGTAAGCGCCCTAGCAGGGTCTCGCACCACCTTCCCCCTGCCCCTAGCCAGCCAACCAGGATCCTGGGTACACACACCTTCTGTGTGCACGTTGACTGGTGAACAGAACCTGGTATCTTCCACACGAGCAGGTGTCACTGCTGCACCAGAGTCAGCCCTGAGGCTGACACAGGAACAGAAGAAAAGCTTATGTTCATGAATAGGAGAAGAGGCTGATTTCTGGGTACAGCCTCTGAACCAGTCTCTGCGCTAGGGGACAAAGAATTTGCATTTTTATTTATTTTAAATTTTTATTTATTATCATTATTCTTCAACTTTGACCAGAGAGAGGCAGAAAGGGAAAGTGAGAAAGCAAGCCACCAGGTACAGGACTTGAGCCATGGTTGGCCATGTCGGAGTCCAGCGCCTCAACCACCATGCCACCTGCCGGCCCCAAGAATTTGCGTTTTTTAAACAAGCTCCTGGGTGATTCTTGTGCATGCATATTTTGGAAATGGGTCTACCTTTTTCTTTTTTTTTTTTTTTTAATTTGTCAGGGGGCCCATGGAGAAAACACTCATCATGGGGATACGACCATGCCCCAATCCCTTCTCCTCTATCTTTCCCTCCTTTCAGGATTTTCGGCACGGATATACATGTATCCAGTGCCTGGTATGTTTTTCAGGCTGCTGGGTCCTGGACTAGAACCACATGGTTGACCATGTGAGACCCAGCTCCCTTAAACACCAGGCCACAGACTGACAGATGGTGTGATGGTTAGGGTGCTGGACTCCCACATGGCTGACCACAGATTGAGTCCTGGACCAGGTGGCTTCCCTTTTCACTTTCCCTCTCTTACCACTCTGGTCAAATCAGAAAAATAATAAATAAAATAATTTGTTAAAGAATTATCTATTATCATTTTTCAATTTTGACCAGTGAGTGTGAGTGAGCAAGCCGTCAGATCTGGGACTCGAACCACGGTTGGCTATGTGGGAATCCAGCACCCTTAGCCACCATGTTACCTGCCAGCCCTTAAAATAATTTCTTTTCAGTTTTTTTATAGAATATTTTATTTATTTACTTAATTTCATTCATTTATTTTTAAAATTTTGACCAGCGAGAGACAGAGCAAGCCACCAGGTCTGGGACTTGTACCGCAGTCGGCCGTGTGGGAGTGTCCAGTGCCTTAACCACTATGCCACCTGTTGGTCCCCCTAAAATAATTGTTACATACACACACACACACACACACACACACACACACACATACACACCAGGCCATGATTGAAAACAGGCCAAACTTCCAAGGTAAACAGAATCCCTTTACCACAGAGCTTACCCTGAGGTCTCATGGCTCTGAGAGGTACACTTAAACCAGGAGACAACACAGAAGCAAGATCCAGCTCTGGGAATTGATGGACTTTTTTCCCTCTCTGCATCCCTGCACCTCCTGGGAGGAGAGGCATTGGACCCCAGAGTTGGCACCTATATCCAGATTCCACGAAGAAGGAAGGGCAGGGGCCAGCTGGGACCGAGAAGAGCAAAGCAGACTCGGCAGCCTAAAGAAGCAGGCCTTTCCAAGCACAGCCAGCCAGCCCCAGACAGTGTTCTAACGTGGCCTGCCTACAGGGTGAGTATCACCTTGACCTGTGCATAGAGAGCATCGTTAATGAAACCTTAACTTCACCTGCTTGTTTTGCTCTGTGTCACTGTGGCGAGAGAAAAGACTTGTGCACTTTAAAAAAAATTTTTTTTTAATTTTATTTAACTTCATTTATTTATTTAAATTTGAGGGACAGAGTGAGAGAGGGGGAGAGAGAGAGAAAGCCACCCCAGGTCCAGGACTCGAACTGCATTTGGCCATTTGGGAGTCCAGCGCCCTTAACCACCATGCCACCTGCTGGCCCCAAGACTTGTGTACTTGTTGAAGGGAAATCAGGGTGATAGGGATGAGACTTGCCATCCAGAATAGGGGTCTCCAAACTGAACCTCTTGTTTCTTCAACAGAAATGTGTACGAAGGCCAAACATTTCAAGGGGCCAGTCTCACAGTAAGAAGGGATGATGGGAAAGAGACTAGACACTTCATGACAGACTTCAATTTTAGTGGGGCTAGTGGGGAATGAATTAGGATCCTAACAGTTGACTAGGCCCAAGTGGGTCTGCATGGAGTCTCCACCCATTTTCGCTCCTGACTTTGGTCATTGAAAATAAACCTGAGTTGAAAGTGAAATCCATGAAATTTGGTTGGTCTAGGCACAGGAAGCCCACAGGGTTGGGGACCTGGTGTCACGAATGAGGGCTCCTTGGCATTTGGAATGTGATAGTTGAAAACATGACATAGCATTAAGTTGGTAGGCCCTTAGAAGGCCACTCAGTAGAGAGGACATGGCATTTCCATGCAGTGTACCTGGTGCTGAGGTTTAAAAGTGAGAGCCGCATCAACATTCTCATGGAAACTTCATCTCCAGTGCTCTCCTGTTATGAGCTGAGGCCTACGGGAGGCGGGAGGTGATGAGTCATGAGGGCTTCTCTCATGGGATTAGGCCCTTCTAAGGCTTCATGGGTCACTCATGTCTTTATTGCCCTTTTGTCCCTTTCACCATGTGGGGACCTGGCGTTTATCCCCCCAAGGACATAGCAGCAAGGCATCTTCTTGGAAGCTGAGAGCAGCCTTCAGCAGACATCGAAACTGCCGGCCCCTTATCTTGGACTCCTCAGCCTCCAGAACTGTGAGAACATGCATTTCTGTTCTTGAAAACTTACCCAGGGTTGGCTATTTTGTTCTAGCACATAAACAGACCAAGACAAGCAGGCATTCTACCTAGAAAAGCAGGCACACCTATAATCCTGCCCCCTTGACTCCAGGACGTAGGAATCCTGAATAAATCTTAGAAACGTGAAAACATAGTCAAACTCAAAAGGAAACCTTTAACTGAAAATAGAACAGCTACAGGCATGAGTAGAGGCCGAAGCTATTACTTCAGGAGCAGATCAGTTCAGGATAGTAGGTACTGGGACTTCCAAGTCCATATGGGACAGGTAAGCAGGCATGACCTAGGGATGCCAGGAGACCAGAACCAGTTCTCTGAAGAAGAGTACAGGGGAAATATAGGCACCTAAAGAATCATTTAAAAAATATGGGCCAGCTTGGGGCCTGGTGGTTAAGGGAGCTGGATCTCACGTGCCAAGTACACAGTTCTAATCCCTCCCTGGTAGCTTAAAAAATATGCCAGGTGCACGCATGCCCAAAGTCCCAACGGGGTGGAGAAATGAAGTGATTATAGCATGACCTGTCCGGAGGAAGCAGAGGAGTTTCTCTCTCTCTCTGGCAAGCACATAAGCACATATACCCTCTGGCAAAAACAAAACAAAACAAAACAAAAACCTTTAGATTTATATTTTTTAACTTAAAAAAAATTTTTTTAATGTATTTATTTATTGTGATTTTCAAGCCATAGGACTTCAACTACAATCGGCTATGTGGGAATCCAAGGCCTTAACCACTATGCCACCTGGTGACTCCAACCTTTAGATTTTTTTTAAGTGTATTTTCTCCTTTTTACAATTATTTTTAAACTTTATTTATTTATTATTTAAATTTGACCAGAGAGGGACAAAATGAGAGAGAGAGGGAGAGAAAGACAGAAAGTGAGAAAGCAAGCCACCAGGTCCAGGACTCAAACCATGAATGGCCATGTAGGAGTCCAGAACCCTTAACTACCATGCCACTTGCCAGCCCCTAGATTTATTTTTAAAGTTTAATAATATGTATATTTCTTAAGTGGGAGGAAGAAAGTAAAAAGTCCTGTAATCCTATAAAGCGTTTTTTTTTTTAATTTATTTAAAAACAAAATATTCCAAACGTACCATACCCTGGTTTGCCTTTAATGGAATGCACTGAATTTGGATCATTCCTTTATCTGGGACCATCCTGAAAGTCGTTTTCTATAACTTTTTTTTTTTTATTCCCTTCCTCTAGTGTTTCACAGTCCCACACTGGGGACTTACGCAGGTAAATAACTAGAGTGATCCAATAACAAGCAGCCAGTCACCTAACAATTTCTCTTTCCCCAAACAACAGCTTTTCAGCTTTTCAAGGCAGCCCGGAAGCCTCAGCTGCTTAGAAGGACTCAATGAAGTCCTCCAGCCAAGCCTCTCCTGGGCGGGGCCAAGCAATTCCAGGCTCTGCCCACTGCTGGTCTCACTGGGCAGGGCCTTCTGGGGCCACTTCCAGGTTCCCGGAAGTCCTGTTGCCTGGCCACCCAAGGTCCTCGCAGTGGTGGGCCCAAGGCAAGGCTGCAGTTTGTGGTCTGGGGCAATCCCCCACTGGCTCTTTCATATTGGTGCTGGGGTCTCTCTATGCCCAGCAAAAGTTGCCAGGAGTAGGTGGGGCTCTTTTCCAATGCACCCATCATCCCAGTTTGTTTGTTTGTTTATTTATTTCTCTCTCTCTTTTTTTTTTTTTCTTAGAGAGACTTTTGCTATAGAGCACATGTGCCCACCAGACAGACAGAAAGTGAGAAATCGCCCCCACCCTCTCCCTCCATGGTTGGTTGGGGGTGGATGGCCACACCACAATCCCTTTTCCTCCATTCTCCTCTCTGGATGTTGGGCATTTACATACATGTGCCTAGCATGAGTTTGAAGCTGCCGGGTCTGGGACTCAACCCATGATCGACTATGTGGGAGTCCAGTGATGTAACCATCACACCATCTCCTCGTCTCCCTAGTTTATTTCTTGAGCACCTACGCATCAGGCTCCATCAGGCACGTAAAACCTAACCGGAAGCGTACACCACAGATCTTGATTAGGAGGCCAGGCTTGGAGAAGTTGAGGCACTCAACTTGAGGAAGCCAACTTAGGGCTCATACACCTGGACCCCTGATGGAGGGCAGGCAGGTAGCCAGCCTACCAGCCCCCCATTCACGCTGGATGAAGAGCAGTGACAACCTCAGCTTTTACCCCAAATGCTTTATTTTCCACAATGATTCATAAACTATGTTATACAAGCCCAAGTCTTTGAGGAGCCAGAGACCCCACCATGCAAAACCAGCAAACAGACCCACGACTTGGGGAGAGGCAGTGAGTACACCGGAAATGAATGGGGCACATCCGATTCCCACAGCTGGGGCTCAGTTTAGTTGGTGGGAGACCTTCCGTGTGAGGAAATGGAAGTGTCTTTGGCCTGAGTGAAGGACAGAAGGAGGTCAGGAGGAGGCACCACAAGGTTGGAGAATGAGCTCCGCCTGGCCTGGGCCCGGTTGGCATCTGTGCCACTCTGGGGGTGGCAAGCACTGCTCAGAGTGTCAGCCCCCGCTCCCTGAATAGCTGCTTCAGAGCCTCTTCCAGCTGCTGGTTTGTTCCCTGAAGCCCCTTGACCACCTGTGCTGCCCACTCGAAGTACTCCTGGACCCGCTGTTCTGACCATCCTGCAAAGAGTAGACAGAAGCCTGCTCATGTGACATCCAGAGTGGCACTGCCTTTGGCCCCCTTCCTGATGGGCATGGGGCAGGGCCAAGGAAAGAGTTCCTGATATGTCCTAAAAACCTCCCCCTGGCCCAGCTGGGGATTTTTACCTTGGAAAGTCGACCAGAGAGTGGTCAGTCTAGAAGGATCAGGTTGGGGAATTGACAAGAACAGTCAGGCTTTTTTCCAGGGGAACTGACCAACCTGTGTCTTCAAAACACGGACATCCCTCCCCTTGCCCATAGAGGCGATGGGGGAGCGTACCCTCTGGGGCGCAGCGATTCAGGTCCCTCAGATTATACAGCTTGTCTGCCAGCTTCACCAGCTTGGCCCCGGGGCTGCTGTGGGGCGCCCGCTCCACCTGCAGCCGCTTTCTCTCCAGCTTGGGCAGTGTCTTATCATCTGTCACTTCCTCCACCAGGCGCCGCACCTGTGTCCCAAAGTGCAGCTCCACCTCATCCAGGGTGGTGTCTGTGTCCTCCACGGTGTCATGGAGCAGGGCCGCCTGGGGACAGGCTTCTACTCAGCCCTACCATGCCAGCCACGGGGTGCCCATTGAACGGGATCCCTGCTCCCCACCCTGGCCTCCTGGCAGAGAAAATGGAAAGTTACCTGCAGCACCACCGTGTCAGTGATTCCCGCCTCATGGGTCAGGATCCGAGCCACACCTGATAGGGTTAGGGGTGGGGGGCAAAGAGCAGTCAGACCAGAGGGAGCCCTGAAGCGACGTGTGGTGGTGGGTTTTGGAGACCCAGATGTGGCCCCTCAATAGCTGGGTGACCTTGGGCAAGTCTTTAACCCTCTTTGGGTGTCAAACGTACAGAGGGTACACTTATGCCTACTGCACCTGGCTGCAGTGAGACTGGAGCAGCACATCACAGGACAGCGCCTGGCTCAAAGCTTGGTACTACGTAGGCGCTCAGAGGTGCACACCCTCCGCATCCCCTTCCCGGTCCCCACCCCCTCAGACGCTGCAGCGGTTGCTCCCTGCCCGGCGCGCCCACCGATGGGGTGGTTGATGTAGGGAGTCCCTTCGGGATCCTTTCGTCGCTGCAGTCGGTGCTTGCGAGCCGCGAAGTCTGCTGCCTCCAGCAGCTGGGCCGCCTCGGAGCCCATCGCGCCGTGGGGCTAGCGACGGCGGTCCCGGGAGGCCCAGGCGGAGCGTCTCCAGCGCCCCCTAGCGCTTAGGAGGCCTGGGGGAATCTTGGTGTCCCTAATTCCAGCCAGCTGCACCTGTATCTTACCCAGACGCCTTCCTTGTGTGGGGACCTGCCTTCGGCATCGCAGGCCCTGGTCCAGTGTGCTCTGCCGGGGATGCAGGAAGAACATAGTTTGGCTCTCTGGGAGCCTTAGGATGGGGGAAGACAGACAAGAAATAAGGCAGCGACCTCACAGTGTGCAGGGTCGCGGCCAGATGGCTCGGGGAACTGTGGGACTGTGGATAAAGGGCACTTCATCTCACTTCAGAGCCAGAGACAGCTCTTTCCCAGGAGGAGCTTCTACGCCCCATGAAAGCTCTGAAAATTCTCAATGTGCTCTAAAGACAGCTGTGCCTACAGGGACCCGCCAGGTTGCGATGGGCACAGGCAGCCTACACTAGCAGCCCTAACCGCTTGAGATTTAGGCTCGCAGGGAGCAGTGGTATTTCTGCAGAAACAGCCTTCGTTCTCAGAGCTGGGGTGAAGTTTGCATTGCAGTCTTGTGCGGGAAAAGTGCTCCTGCTCCAGTCCTCTGGCACCTGCAAGGACCTTGGGCTGTTCTGGGAGCACGGTGTCAGGCCTGGGTAGGTACTGGAGTAGTGTTTCACCCTGCTGGCCTCGGGCCTTTTGGAGAAATTCACTGTCCTAAGGATGGTAGCTATTAGGTCTGAGGAGCGAGAGATCTGGAGACTTCCCAAAGAGCTTCCCTGCGAGATGGGGTTAGCTAGTTGCTAAGTAGACTCCAATTAGACAGGTAGCGTTTGTGTTTTGGCTGCGAGCTGAGGAGACAAGGCTCAGGGGAAAAGTTAGTGAAAGGACTCACACTTGGTTTTCAGCTAGTCTTGGTGGTGGCCACGTTGCCGGGGTTAAGGAGGGAAGCTCTGTACGCTGAAACTGAGGTTTCCAGAACCTGAAATGGAATGGCCAGGATTCCCAGGCCTCCCCGGCAGCCTGCAAGTCAGAGAGGAGGTAGAGGGAGAACGTTTTTGGCTCGGAATACTCTGTTCTCGGGATACTGGCTCAATTTCTCTCTTATCCCTCATTCTGTCCTTGGTCCTCCTGAGTCTTTCCCACTTTGGATCAGAAAACCGCGAGCAGTTTGGAGCCACAGTCTCCAACGTTTTCCAACAGCAGAAGAAACGCCATCACTTCCATCTCTCTCTTAAAAAATAAGAAGCTTCAGGTTTGTGGTAATTTGACCTGAGGGTGGTTTTGATTTTTATTTCCTTACTGTCCACAGTGATGGTTCAGAAAGAGAGATGCCAGGGTTCCTAGGATCGGAGTCGAGGTGGAGGTGACCTCTGATGGGTTTCCAGAGGAGGCCAGGACCCTTGCTGGCAGGCCCATGCCTGGGGCTACTGCTACTCTCCAGCTGGGGGGCCCTTGGCCTGCCGGTCTCTCTCTCAGGTATGCCCACTCCCTGTGCCCTGCAGGTGCTAAGGGTTTCTAGGGAGCCTGCTCATCCAGTTGGGGCTGATTCTTTTTATTCTTCAGAAGGGGCTGGGAGGATGTGGACAGACCCATCTGCTTGTCTCCAGCCCCCTGGCCTCTCTCTTCAGCATTGGCTCACCACCCCCACTTGTGCGAGACCAGCCGGGATGCTGACGGCCGCCACTACCCAGGTTTCTTCTGCCCGCGGC